TTTAATATAAGTTATGTTAAACTTATATTAAAGTTTTTCTTCATTACCCATTTAAGCCGTCTCCAGCCATTATTAGTCTCAAAGTGGGTTCCTCGTCATCGATTTAGCTAATAGGTATGTTACAGACTCCAAGCTAGAATTATAGTCTAAGAAAATAGTCTATTTTTGTGTTTAAGGTAAACCGTAAATGTAGGTTAAGGAAATACTTATACGTTTTAAGTTTTTAAGGGGTTTGGGTAACAAGCAAAAACTATAGTGATCTGTTAAAGTCAGACATCGTCTTTGATAAGGGTTTGGAGCTTAGTTTTTTCATAAAAAGTACCTGTCCATAAGTTCTAATTTTCTTTCATAAACACTTTTGTGAAAGATAACGTTTTATTCGTTTTGTAAGATCTAATTTTCTTTCATAAACAGTTTTGTCTAAATTTTTGTCTGAGTTAAAGGTTTTGCTCGTTTTCTCTGACTAAATAATGCTTAGTATCAACCTCATTCCAAGGTCACGTTAAACTAAACAACACTCTGACCACATGTGTCATTTAAAGGGAGTCAAAGTTCTAGGTTCAAGTAGACGTTGTTGACTAGTTTTTCCGAGTAGAAGACAAAGCGAATTTGTTGAAACAAGTTTTTATAATTTCCTGACTTCTGATAGTTTGTTCCATTTACAGTGTTTTTTCACCAACCGCATTCGTTTCATAAATTCATATTGTTAATGCACTCTTTAGTATTACTAATTCAACTTGAGAATATGAACTATGAACGATTCTTTAATAAGTAAAGTTTGTTGAATATGTGTTGCAAATGGCAAAGTTATTACATGGGAACACAATCACACTCACTCTAGTGTTTTTCACTACCTTGATCACGACTGTGATTCTGTTTCAATTAATAATAACTGTAGTAGCAGAAGGAAAAACAAGAAATGTGGCTTAAATATAAATTTCTGGCTCCGAAAGAAATGAAAAAAAGATATAAAATACAAAATCTTTATTAAGATCAAAACAATAAAAACATAGAAGAGTGAACTATAATTAGGAACAGCATTGCTTTTTAAATGGAGAAAGCTCTCACCAGATGAACAAAAGGAAGGTTTGAAAAATACTGGGAGAGTACAACGACCACAACCAAAAAATAATAGCGTTAGTTTTCCCAAAGCCCATGTGTTACTGACGTCGTTGGTCATTAAACCAGCAAACGGCCCGGCATGGCCAGGTGGTTAAGGAGCTCAACTCGCAATCTGAGGGTCGCGGGTTCGAATCCCCGTC